CAGATTGGCTGATATTGGTAAAGAAACTTTAGCAAACGGAGAAGAAATTCCATTACCTAAAGTTCTATTGGCTACAATAGGAAAGGTGAAATTTAAAATATTATTCCAAAAATAACACTTATAAATCGAATTTCTTTTTAGGATTCGAAAAAGAATACAGTTTTGGTTTATGGCCACTTGGATGTTCAACCAGCCCTTAAAGAAGACGGCTGGGCCACCGAACCCTTCGAACTAACCGAAATAGATGGTAAATTATGGGGTCGTGGATCGACTGATGACAAGGGTCCCGTACTTTGTTGGATACATGCTATTGAAGCTTATCAGAAATTAAATATTGATTTACCTGTCAATGTTAAATTTGTTTTGGAGGGAATGGAAGAAAGTGACAGCGAAGGCTTAGATGAGCTTCTCATGAGTCTTAAAAATGATTTTTTGCGTGATGTTGATTACGTTTGCATTTCGGATAATTATTGGTTAGGCAAAACTAAACCCTGCCTAACCTATGGTCTACGTGGTTTGGTCTACTTTACCATTGAAATTGAATGTGCTCAGAAGGATTTACATAGTGGTGTATTTGGTGGTACTGTCCATGAGGCTATGCCTGATTTGTGTTGGCTTTTAAGTACTTTAGTGGATAAAGATACTAATATTCTAATACCGGGCATTGATAGAGATGTGAGTTGTATAATGTTGGTATTACTTGAGGAATATGGATTGTATTGTTTTTTGTTTTTGATAGGTTGCTCCTTTATTACACAATGAATTGGAAATTTATGATAAAATTGATCATGATGTTGAGGAATTAAGTAAGTACTATTTTATTTTCATTTACACAAAACCTTTTAGGAGGCTAAACGTTTAATCTTCTGGCACTGAAACTGCTCCACTAATTTTCCATAAAGTAATTAAAAACTATATGCATTATTTTAGAAAAGATATCGGTGCAACTAAATTGCCTCACAACGAGAACAAATCTCAATTGTTAATGCACAGATGGCGTTATCCTTCTTTATCGATACACGGCATTGAAGGTGCCTTCTCAGAAGCCGGTGCCAAAACAGTTATACCCGCCAAAGTTATTGGCAAGTTTTCAATACGTTTAGTATACAACCAAGATCCCGATCATGTAACCGAATGTGTTCTTAAATATCTAAATGAGAAATGGTCCGAACGTAGTTCACCCAATAAAATGATAGTGAAAATGATAAGTTCCGCTAAACCATGGTCTGGCGATCCCAATCATCCTCATTATGAAGCTGCTAAACGAGCAATAAAGCATGTCTTCCACGTTGAACCTGATATGACACGTGAAGGCTGTTCTATACCCATAACTTTGACATTGCAAGAGGCAACGGGTAAAAATGTTATTCTAGTGCCTGTGGGGGCCAGTGATGATGGTGCCCATTCTCAAAAGGAAAAGATTGATATTTATAATTACATTGAAGGAGTAAGTTTATTTATTATTTTTAATATAATTGGTGCTGAAAGATATTTTATTGTATTTACAGACTAAACTCTTGGGATCTTATTTATATGAAGTTGGTCAATTAAATTAAGTTTACTTTCATTATTAAATACATTATTGAAAAACAAGATTTAAATCTGGGTAAGAAATGTTCTGCGGGTTATTTTTAAACGTAAAAAAAAAACTTAAAAAATAGAAACGAAATTTGAAGAAAAATGTAAATTTACAAAATTTTTTCTTTATTCCAAATTTGTGACAAATTATTTATAACATCTTTAGCTGCTGCTGTCTTGTGTTTCATAAAATAACCCTGAATCTGAGCTGGACTAACGGGTTTGCCAACAGCTAGCACAGCCTTGGCAAAATCGCTAGCATAATCATTTGATGAATTATCCTCCTGTTTGTAGAATCTATTAAACATTTCCACTAGTTGATATTCCGAACAGAAACCCATATATGATTGCATATCAACACGACCTGGTCTTATCAGAGCAGGATCTAATCGTTCAAGGTAGTTTGTGGTCATAAATACTATACGCGCTTCAGTAGATGCAACACCATCTAGGCAGTTAAGAAGGCCGCTAAATGTTACCCTATTTAAACCATCATATGCTGCGGACTGTTTTGAAACATCATCCCGAGAAGCAAATGCAGCATCAACATCCTCCAATAATATTATCGACTGTTCCGGTGCAACATTTAGAAGATGATTGAGGCGATCGTCTGTCAATCCCCTTTCTGACAAATTGAGAAGGCATATTCCATATTCCAATTCCCCGGCTAATGCCGTAATAAAACTAGATTTACCGCAACCAGGAGGTCCATATAGTAAATAACCTCTTCGATAAGGAATACCTCTGTCAATGTACCATTGCGAATTACTTATGAATTCTTTACAATCTGAAATTATTTGCTCACTTACTCCTTTATCTAGAACAACAGATGATACTGGTCGACCGTCTACGAGGATGCCCAAACTGTCTCCACTCAGGACCCATAGCAGTATACATAATTGTTTTTCCTTCCGTTGCTTCTATTGCGAGTTTCGCGCGTCTTCTAAAATATCAAAATATATCTGCTTATTTCGACCAAAGGCAGTAAGAGTTACGGATTCCCATGGAACACCCATTTGCAAATCAAGTGTCTGTTGTTCTCGATTTTCTTTCTACTTGACTCCAACGCCGCGGTAATACATAAATGCTTTCCTATACTGGGAATAAATCGTATTTTGTTTCGATTTTCCCCGTGTCTTTTTGAACAAATGATGTTTCACGCTTAAATGTTGCGTTTCTCGCGCCCCCTCTAGTAGTTATCCATTGAAGAAGCCAATGATATGACTTATCGCGACAAGGAACTTCTAAAGTTATCATTAAATGACGTCGAAAGAGTACCAAACCACCTTGCGGACCTTTTCGCAATATTGCTGCACCAGCGCCAATTCCAAACAAACCAAATCCTGCACTAAAATATGGATTAGTTGACAAACTGCTTATTATCTCACTTATTGGCATCCTGTTTTTACCTTATCAAAAGCACAGACAGTCATAACGTTGAAATTCAAAGTGTATTCCCAGTAAACAATTTTTGACCAATTCGGTCAGAAATTATACCGAAAATTTGCACAAGATGGCGATTTCGTATCCAAGTCGGTTAGGAAATGTTACGAAAATCGTATGGGAGAATTCGTAACTGTTGTCTGAAGAAATTCGGAAAAATTTTTTAGATTTGTCGGTCAGAATTTTAAAATAACAAAAATACATTTATTTACGATAGATAGTTAACGTTAAAATGGAGAATAGATAAATCGTTAAGTCAACCGATATTTATTGTTACATAACGAATCGGTTGAAAACATTGAAAAGTTACAGAATAGGGTAAGAATTATTTAGAAAACTTCTGACATCAGACATGTCTAAAAAAATTGTTTACTAGGTTAATAAAGTGACGGCAGAACCTAGCCCTGATTTAGACTGCGCAATTATAATTGCGCAAGTTTTGATTTTGTATGTGAGAGAGAAGAAGACAGAAATAAAATGATTCTCTCCCTCAACTCAAACTCCCTAGCGCAAGTAAATTGTCCAGTCTAAACCAGGACTTTCTTGTTGTACAACATCTAAAATCGCAGGCAATTTGTTTTCTGTTCATTGACCATCTGTCAAAATTTGAATGTTGTTTTTGTTACTTTTACAGCTGATTACAATTCTAACCACAATCGTATGGAGAGCAAAAATCATCATGTTGTTAGCGATTGCGACTGGACTTTAGACTAGAAAGACTAGACTACAAAATAGACTAGCCTATTGACTAGACTATAGACTAGACTATTGACTAGACTATACACTAGACAATAGAGTATACTATAGACTAGACTATGGCTAGACTATAGACTACACTATAACTAGACTATAGACTAGACTATAGACTAGACTATAGACTAGACTATAGACTAGACTATAGACTAGACTATAGACTAGACTATTGACTAGACTATAGACTAGACTATAGACTAGACTATAGACTAGACTATAGACCTAGACTATAGACTAGACTATAGACTAGACTATAGGACTAGACTATAGACTAGACTATAGACTAGACTATAGACTAGACTATAGACTAGACTATAGACTAGACTATAGACTAGGACTATAGACTAGACTATAGACTAGACTATAGACTAGACTATAGACTAGACTATAGACTAGACTATAGACTAGACTATAGACTAGACTATAGACTAGACTATAGACTAGACTAGACTAGACTAGACTAGACTAGACTATAGACTAGACTATAGACTAGACTATAGACTAGACTATAGAATAGACTATAGACTAGACTATAGACTAGACTATAGAATAGACTATAGACTAGACTATAGAATAGACTATAGACTAGACTATAGTCTAGACTATAGACTAGACTATAGACTAGACTATAGAATAGACTAAACTAGACTATAGACTAGACTATAGACTAGACTATAGACTAGACTATAGACTAGACTATAGATAGACTAGACTAGACTATAGACTAGACTATAGACTAGACTATAGACTCGACTATAGACTAGACTATAGTCTTGACTATAGACTATACTGGACTATAGACTAGACTATAGCCTAGACTATAGATTAGACTACAGACAAGACTATAGACTAGAATATCTAGACTATAGACTAAAATATCTATTCTATTTACTATAATACATACATGTATTTTACAAATACGAACAAAAACATAAAAAATAAAATAGAAATTTGCAAAAAAAAATAAATTTAGAAAATTTTTTCTTTATTCCAAATTTGTGACAAATTATTTACAACATCTTTAGCTGCTGCTGTCTTGTGTTTCATAAAATAACCCTGAATCTGAGCTGGACTTACGGGTTTGCCAACAGCTAGCACAGCCTTGGCAAAATCGAGAGCATAATTATTTGATGAATTATCCTCCTGCTTGTAGAATCTATTAAACATTTCCACTAGTTGATATTCCGTACAGAAACCCACATATGTTTGCATATCAACACGACCTGGTCTTATCAGAGCAGGATCTAAGCGGTCAAGGTAGTTTGTGGTCATAAATACTATGCGTGCTTCAGTAGAGGCGACACCATCTAGACAGTTGAGTAGTCCACTGAATGTTACCCTATTTAAACCATCATATGCTGCAGACTGTTTCGAAACATCTTCTCGGGAAGCGAAAGCAGCATCAACATCCTCTAATAGAATAATTGACTGTTCTGGTGCAACATTTAGCAGGTGATTAAGGCGATCATCTGTCAATCCCCTTTCTGACAAATTGAGAAGACATATTCCATATTCCAATTCCCCGGCTAATGCCGTAATAAAACTAGATTTACCGCAACCAGGAGGACCATATAGTAAATAACCTCTGCGATAAGGAATTCCCCGGTCAGTGTACCATTGTGAATTACTTATGAATTCTTTACAATCTGAAATTATTTGCTCACTTACTCCCTTGTCTAGAACAACCGAAGATACTGGTCGACGTCTACGTGGATGACCGAATGGTCTCCACTCCGGACCCATAGCAGTATACATAATAGTTTTTTCCTTCTGTTGCTTCTAAGGCAAGTTGTCGTGCATCTTCTAAATATCAAAATATAGCTGCTTATTACGACCAAAGGCAGTAAGAGTTACAGGACTCCCATGGCACACCCATATGCAAGTCAAGCGTCTGTTGTTCTCGATTCCTTTCCACTTGGATCCAAACGCCGCGATAATACATTAAATGCTTTCCTATACTAGGAATGAAATCGTATTTTGTTTGGATTTTTCCCCGTGTCTTTCTGGACAAACGATGTCTCAACGCTTAAATGTTGTGTTTCCCTGGCGCCTCTAGTAGTTTATCCATTGAAGAAGCCATTGATAAGACTTGTCGCGACAAGGAACTTCTAAAGTTATCATAAAATGACGTCGAAAAAGTACCAGACCACCTTGCAGACCTTTTCGCAATATTGCTGCACCAGCGCCTATTACCAAACAAACCAAATCCAGCTCCGAAATATGGATTAGTTGACAAACTGCTTATTATCTCGCTTATCGGCATACTGTCCACAGATATAACTCCCTTATTTAACTAATCAAAAGCAAAGTGTATTAATAAAGTTTACGACAGAACTTCTTGTGCAACCTCTTCAATCTTCACAAGCAATTTGTTTCTGTTATCCACTAACCCATATGGTATGTGTCAAAATTTGCCTGTTGTTTTTGTTTTCAAAGTTTGTTTTCATTATTGGTGCGAAGAAAGCGACACACGGAATTAGAAGAAAATTTTGAGTTTGGGAATTAAAAACCGAGAAGTAAAATACCCCTATTTTACATATTATAAGTGGAAAGTAAAAATACGCATATATTGTGTATTTTCTTAAGAAAACTGACTTTGGAAATAAACACTGGCAATCGCGCTAAAAACTGTACGTATTCAAATACATTATTATTTACATAGAATTTACATTTTCTTTAAAACTTTTCTTTTCTTATTTATCAGTTACAGTTTAACTGTAATTTAAATTATCGAAATACTGCGTATCATTAAAACCTGCTTTATCTTTCATTCTACAATTATCCGGCAACATTGTTTACGATCAACACCTGTTAAAATATTTTATTTATCTGCAACCAGAGACTTACGCGATTCGGTTTAAGCGACTAAGCCTAGCCACCGAACAAATGTCAAAGCCGTCGCCGCCGAAAATTTTTCCGCTATACTCCTATACCGAGGGTCATTGTGCAAAGAAACAGCAAGTGTTTGGTTTAATTTAGATAAATTGTTAATAACTATGATGAAAATGTTTTTCCAGGCGGGTGTTGTTTTCGTTTAATACCCAAAAGTGTTTATTGAAATCTAGATTTGGCGTATTTGTGAGATCTAGAAGATTAAAAAATTGAAGTAATGGTGTTAATAAATTATTTATTGGTCTATAAAGAACGTCTTTCTTTTCAAGAAAGAGGAGGCATCATGATGGGTCTCCTGGAAGAATGCCCACAAGAGAGTGGCAATTATTATACCTCCCTAGTCACCTAGGCGGGTGGTGGTCGGTCGGCTAGTGGTGACATGGTATATTATCACCTAGAGGCATGGACGGAAGCTGATTGCCGTATTCAGGGGGTATCCTTGGGATACATACTTATTATTATACCATTGATCTCAGCAGAATAATACATAATAAAATAATTTTTGTTGGAACGAAAATATGTAATGTAAATATGTATATGAAATCTTCTTCAGAAAATGACTTAAACGCACATAAATGGCTTTCAAATGTCGATGTCGACGAAAAAAACATTTTTAGGAACCGAATCCTACATTTATGAAAAATAAAATTATGAGGATCGGTCCGCCATTATAACCCTCTTACAGAAAATTAGTTTATAGCTAATACATCATACCAAAAGTTATCATTATGATAGAATTATAGTAGAATTAAAAAAAGTACTTTAAATTATAGAGAACTTTGTCCATAATTGACCCAAATCCACATTAAGTCCCTAATCCGAAAATCACGGTGACGTTCTTATTAATCTAATGATCAAAGTCCATATATATATGTATATGACCACTTCCGAAATTTGCTTTTTTACGACAAATGATTGCCGAATATAACTCTTACTCCTTACTTATTTTAATCATAAAGAAATACAGCTAAAATAGGAATAGTCTGCCTTTAGAGTTGCGAGTTTTCATACACTCTAATAATGTTTTCAAAGTGAAACTGGGAAACTAATAGAACTAAATTCTTCAAATTTTGGCACGAAGAACTTTAATATTCATCTGAACATTTTGGAGAAAAAAGGGCGGACTTTCATCTGGGGGGCTTGGAACTACCATATGAATTAAATAGAAAAATTCGTATATCTGAGAACTATTAGAGCTATAGTCTTCAAATTTTACTAAAGAACATTTAGAGAAATTGCAATAATTTGCGTGGAATCTCCCATATGTAACAAATTGTATATCTGGAAAACCATTGTAGCTAGAATCAATCAAAATCGTTAAGCTATTTATATTTTCTTATGCAAAATTTTTTAGAAACTGATTTTCTGCAAGATGTTTTATATGGAGGATAGGGTTAAATATCGGCAGATCCTCGTAAAACTTGGAGAAAGGATTTGTTTTTAATTTTTAAGAATTTTTTATTCATCCTGCATAATTTCTCACACAACTTTGAGCTTGCTCTGTTTTGTTGTTATAAACAATATATTTGCTTCCAAAATCCCACTTTCTGATCTCTCGGATTCCGTTTTTTATTTAAAATTGTTGAAAATTTAAAAACTAAACGTAGTTGAAAACTTAGCCGGCTTACAGTCGATCTTAAGCCGCCGCCGACATATTTGGTGTCAGTCGCCGCCGCCGTTAATATTTGTCGGCGCAGGGCTCTGTCTGCAACTCCAGCGGCAAAATTTTTTTAACTGTTTTTTTTTACTCGAAAAAATGTCTCAAATTCCTTTATTACCCCGAGAATCTGGAGAATTTATAGTGAAAAATGCAAAATATATTAAAGTAAAACCAGAAGGCATTGAGAATCTTTGCCAAGAAATAATCAAAGGCATACAAGACCAGCGCATCAACGTAAACAATTTTTCGCAACATGATTTGCATCCAAAGCCCACAGATGCTTATGCTTTGGAATGGATATTTGTGGTGGACACATTGAATTTTTGTTTCTGGACGCCCAGTAAGTACCAAATACAAATAGCAAATTTTAACATAATATTCGAATGACTTAATTATATTCCAGCTGATTATACCAAATACAAGGTAATGGGATATACCGGCTATTTTGCTCTCTGTGCTGCCCTTAACCGAGCCATGCAGGAAGGCTTGGATATAACAAATGCTGAGTATTATAGTAAAATTACCATGGACACCGTTAAACATATATTCCGTTCTGATGATGGAAACACTATGGTGCCTTTGCTGGAAGAACGTTTAAAATGTTTTCATGAAGTTGGTCAGAGACTTTTGGAGAAGTGGCAGGGAAAATTTGAAAATGTGGTTAAAGCAGCCGAGGGATCAGCTTTAAATTTGTTAAAACTTATCGTCCAGGAATTCCCCTGCTTTAGGGATGAAGCTGATTTTTGTGGCCAACGTGTAGCTTTATACAAACGAGCTCAATTCTGGTAGGAGATGTATGGGCCTGTTTCAGGGGTGAAGGTTTGGGTGCATTTAAAGATTTATACCAAATCACCATGTTTGCTGACTACCGTGTACCACAGGTGTTGGTACATTTTGGTTCATTGGAGTACAATGAAGAATTAATGCAGCTATTAAAATCTGATGAATTGCTTAAGAATGGTGATCCCCGGGAAGTGGAAATAAGAGGTGCTTCCATTTACATAGTCGAACAAGTTAAGGACAAGGTGTTACAAGTATTAGAAGAAAAACATCCCAATATATCTAAAGATCATGTTAATTCCATACTAATTGACCATTTCCTTTGGGATTACAGACGCCAATATGCCAAAGAATTGGAATATATACCATTCCATAAAGTGTTAAGTGTATACTATTAAGTTCTTAAAAGTTTTGTAATAAAAAAAAAAATAAATTGTTTGCAAGTTTGTTTACAAAAATATTTTGTATTTTCTGTTGTTTTTTAATTCCTTAAAAACTTTTTGTAGGCAGCAAATGCAAATTCACACTACATTAAAATCTACTTCTGTTTTGCAATAAACAAACAATCTATTGTAGGGAAACGGGCTTCTTCTTGCCAGCTTGTTCGGCAACACGTTCCTTGAAACGCTTGTCGGCTTCAGCGCGAGACAAGTTGTTCTTGCGGGCAAAACGTTGGTTGGTCAAGAATTTGACATCCATCTAAAAAATAAAAATATACCAACATTAGTGCCAAACTCAAATGACAAATAAAATCACTTAATACTTACACCCATGGTAGATTCGTGGCGTTTACGCATTGGGCGCTTGATGCCATTGCGATGGGCCTTACGGTTTTGGTTGTGGTTAGTGTGATTCTTTGACTTGGCCATTGTACGCTACTGCTTTAGTTTACCAAACATCCATTACACATAAACAAATCCATATATACAAATTTGTATTTTTATCCACAATTAAAATCCATTGCAATCGTTTTTATAGTTATGAAAAGAAATTAAAGAAATATTAATTGTATTAGACACATTTTGTATTGTAGTATTCTTTTGTTATTTTCTTTTAAAATTGTTAGGAAAATTAAATTTTCAAGAAATTATTTAATAAAATTTCAAGAATTGCAACCTACGTTTTTGACAGTTTAGCGGAAAAGAAGGGAGAATTTCGAAAATTTGACAGCCTCCATGTTTTGTTGACATTTGTCAAATTTTTGTTCGAATTTCGAACATTATTACAGAAGATGTGTTTAGTTAGTAAATTGCATAGTTGTATTTGTGAATGCTGTAGTGTTGCCGGGTATTTTTTAATTGGCTCTTTCGTGATATTTGCAGAGACAATAATAGGTATTTATTTAGTTTCTTCTACATGAAATGAGTTAAAAAAATACTTTCGCAATTCAATAGCATTGGAATTTTTAGCTAGATTTCTTTTGTGCCAAAGATTAATTTCCTAATTCTTCACATAGATTCCATGAGATTTAAAACTGAGAATTAGGTTAGGTTAGCAGGTTGTCAATTGCTGTTAGCACCAGGGACACTCTTGGGTCCAGATCCCTTTGTGATAGCAGTAAAATAGAAAACGGTCAGCGTATTAGTGCACTTCGACCCAATTATCTGCATTCCTATCCAGTTTGTCGCACGAATAAATGATTCTATGTTTTAGATATAAGCTTAGTATAGATCTATTAGATCGTACAGGAAATTACAAAGCTTTCGTCAGAGTTGCATCTCGCTAGCACATTGGAACTACAACCGCTGTTGACAATGAGTTTTCTTTTTTACTCCATATAACTGCTTCCAATTTATGCATTAATTGTGTTTTGTTTTACTTAACTCGTTTGAGGTTATGTTTCATTAAATTGGTGGAGACCAAATAATGCTTTGATCAATTAATTGTTCGGGGCTCCGATTGAAGGCCTCTCTGTACCGACGTGGGATAACCTGGCACTTTGAGTGTTTAATAAAACTCCAATAAATAACAGAGTTAACAAATGTTGAAAAATTTCACAAAAACTCTAAAACACATCGTAAAAGAACAAAACAAGCCGAAGAAATCATGAAATTCATAAAAAACTCTAAAATTTCCTAAACAGTTGAAAGATTTCAGAAAACTTCTGAAAAAAATCGAAAAAAAAAAAACAAAAAATCTAGAACAAGTGGATAGCAATTTGCAATTTGTAGAGTAAATTCGAAAAATGCCCTAAAAATTTCATAGATTACACAAAAAATCTTGAAACTATCGAAAAATTTAGCAATTCGTTGATAAAATTACAAATATGTATTTCCTATTAAAAATTTCACCAAAACTCTAGAAAAAGTCGAAAATCTTGCAGTTCGTTAAGAAACTTGAATTCCTAATATTTTAAAGTCTTAACAGGAACTTCATAGAGTGTGGAAAAATCTTGCAAATCGTAAAATGTCCTAAATAGGTTATAGTTCACAATATTCGAAAAATATTGTAATATATAAAAAAACAGTTCAGTTCTCATCAAATGATCTAACAAATACTATTGATACAATTTTATAATAAATATTCGTTGTTTGAATATTCCTATAAGAAATTCTTCCAAACTTCTTCATAAGTTTTATTTTAGGTTCCTCGGACCAGAAAGACATTTGTGGCAAATTTCATAAAATAATGTGATTGTGAATAAATTTCATTATACTTGAAGGTGGGTGTATTTTTGTGCATTGTAATAAAAATTTTCTACAAAGTAAAATTCAAAAAAAATTGTAATATTAAAAGTTTAAAATATAGAATTTAAATAGGAACAAATGATTCCATACTTTGTTATAAAATAGTTGTGTTTTGTTGCTAACGTTCAAAGGCAATTTCATATAATTTAAAATTTATACACGTTAGGAGTTAACGTGTAAAATTATACAAATTAATTTTAACTGCGATAAAAGTGCTACCAATTCAAAAATAAAAATACAAATATGAATGTGTGGATGTCAAATAATAAAAAAATATTTTAAAATAACATTTATATTACAAAAAATTAACAAATAGAGACATTTTTTTTTCAAGAAATTGCAAATATTTTCAAGATTTAGCTGATTTTCCATTGAAGTAATGCCAAG